ATCAATCTTACACGTTTCAATTAAATCATGCACAGAATTTTATGAATTTGTATGAAATTCCGTGATGAAGCTTTCGCAAGGATCAATCTTGGCTGCGAGAATGAAAGAGAAACTAAATCTTTGAGACTACTTTAAGTGTTTGGCAGTTGAAATGATTAAAAGTCGTAATGAAGAAGTGTAATTTCAAGTTAGCTGGCGTTTTCATTTTTTAACGTACAGATTTCACGTGTGAATCGCGCGAGATATCTGTCCTGCCGTTTCACCGAGCACCGATAGCAAATCGCGAGGATTCGGCGATCACGCGATGATATCGATCGCGGTTTCTTGCAGTACTTGTCGCGAACGCGTATCGAGAAAGACTGATACGATATCCGGAGCGGCGCGGCCCGCTAATCGACTCGTTTGACTATCGCCGCGTGAATGATTTGGTACAATGAGAATAGACTGTTTGCGACCGAAGTTTACGACGCTACGTCATTTCTCGGAACCCGCGCCCCGCGTTCGACATCCGAGATTTCAAGGATTTTAGCGATTGATAAACCTCAATAATTGACGAAATTTTAAACTTTAATAATCAAAACGCTAATTACGACCACTTCATTTTTCTAATTTATAAAGCAACTATAAAGCATACACGGAGAAAATTTTCTCTTAAAATTTATCCTGAAAATCATGTAATCGTGGAACAACATGGCATTTTGAACAACTTTATGAGAGTTTTTCGAAGATTTACAGTACATTTTACTAGTAAAATTTACTAGTAAAATTACCAAAAAACTCATAAAATACTTCGACATGCCGCGTTGTCTGACGATTACACGAGTCTCAGGATAAATTTTGAGAGAACATTCTCTCCGTGTACCCGTAAATCATATCTATAAAGCAACAGGCAGTGATAGCGGCGAGTGTGAAAAATAATCGCCGCCACTGCCATAATCATTGCATATTGAAATACTACATACATCATCACAATAAATAAAATTACTGCATATATGTATAAGTATATACTGCTCGTTTCAATTATTAATTCTTACGCACATGCAAATTCACCGTGCAAATAATATCGTGATCGCACCAAGTTCCCTTGGAGGAACTGGCGTTATATCTGTTCGTACACCCATAGAAAAAATTTCCGGATCCAATGCTATTACCCTTCAATGTATCATAAAATAGGATCGATATAGCGCCAATCATATTTAGTATAGAGAAAGGAATATTTTAATCTTAAATAAAAAATTCTAAAATCTAGAATAAAACGGAAGTGCGTATCGTCTTTTGTCTTCGTGCGTTGTAAGACGGAGCGGAAATTTTGTTCTGTACGCAAGAATATATAAACTTACATTTATATGTATAAGTTACTCTTGTCTCAATATAGTAAGTCAATCTTTTTTAACTCGAAAGGGGAGAATAAGAATTACTAATTTTATTTTGATATATATTTTTATACTAAATGAGGTTGTGAGAGATGTAAATGCGTCAAGAATATTTTTTGTCTCACAATCAGTAACAGGTATCCTTTCTGAGGGTGTACTGTGTCGATAAAGCTATACTCAGCGCAGATTTTCTATTAGAGGCAAAATGCAATATACACCCGATATATACGACGTGAATCTCGAATACGTTGCGTGTTCACAAGGAAAGGTACTCGAAACGCGCACTCTTCCACTCAAAATCGCGTCTCCCCCGAGATTCGTGCCACCCGAGAGCACGTAAGAGTCGTTTTCGCGTGACGTAGGCACTGGAATCTGTACTTACTTGAGCCGTGCGACGGTTACCGCGACGAAGTTGTCGGTCGCGACGGTCGAAACGGCGCCGATCGCGAGAATCCGGGACAACCGACGCGTCCCAGCGGTAGCTCGTCCCTCCGACGATCACCCCCGACCAAAATTTGCGTAGGTCGCGCACTTTTGCGGGGCGAAATCGGCGATTAACAGCGGAGCGACGCGCTCACTGCCTCCGCCGCACCGACGCCAAGCGAGACTGTCATGGCGGCCGTCGAAGCGCGCGCTTGAGATATTTCGAACATACCCGGTCACGAAATTTTCCATTAGATGCAGCATGCACACCGATATATACGACGTGTATCGCGAATACGTTGCGTATTCTGAGGGAATGTACTCGAAACGCGCACTTTTCCACTCAAAATCGCGTCTCCCCCGAGATCCGTGCCACCCGAGAGCACGTAAGAGTCGTTTTCGCGTGACGTAGGCACTGGAATCTGTACTTACTTGAGCCGTGCGACGGTTACCGCGACGAAGTTGTCGGTCGCGACGGTCGAAAAGGCGCCGATCGCGAGAATCCGGGACAACCGACGCGTCCCAGCGGTAGCTCGTCCCTCCGACGATCACCTCCGACCAAAATTTGCGTAGGTCGCGCACTTTCGCCGGGCGAAATCGGCGATTAACAGCGGAGCGACGCGCTCACTGCCTCCGCCGCACCGACGCCAGCGAGACTGTCATGGCGGCCGTCAAAGCGCGCGCTTGAGATATTTCGGACACTCGCGATTACGAGACTCGTGACGACGATCGGATGCCTCCGACGCGTCCCCCGGCGAGCCGCGACGATCGGCGACGTCTCGCTCGATGTTACTCGCGAATATTCGTGCTGATCGCGACGACGACGAGTGAACAAGCCGCGAGGAAGAGGCGTAGCTCCGCCGTTCAAACTTCACGTTGGCGCGAGTCGCCCGGCCGCGACGCTACCGAAGCGAGCCATTTCGAGGGTCGTGGCGCCATCCGACGGAGCGCGTTGGTACTCAAATGGTGAAAACTAACGAGGTCGATAAGTCCTTTCGGCCGATAAATTTTCCTGCCCATAGGTTACGTGATGAGTAAACGTCACGATTTATTTCTGTAAAATGCTGTAAATAATGTATATGAGTAGACGTGTTGTTCTTAACAGGCCTGAGAAAGCCGAAATACGAACACTAAAGGGCGTCGTATAATATAATTGTATAAATTTATATTTGACGAGAAAGTTTAGGCTTTTATGCGCCTTCCCAGTGAGAAATGATTCGTCGATCGACGTCGAAATGATGACGAATCGACGGTGTCGATGTCGATTCGACGTCGTTTCGACGTCGATCGACGAATCATTTCTCACTGGATTGTTATGCAAACGAAAAGTATATCAATGCGTTTCTTTTACGTAGCTCTCGACACAAAGTTCGTGCATGGCTCGGAGGGGCAAGGCGGAGGACGCAGCTCCGAGTAATAAATGCGGAGATATTGGATTCGACGTTTTGTTTCTTTTTTTCATCGGGTTCCACCGCGTGAAAACCGAACCGAGATGGAATAATCGCGACAACCGCAAATGTAATGCGCCGCGTTATGGCAATCTTTTTGTTTTCTTTTTGCGCTCGCGGCGACGTCTACGCACGCTTCGTACGGGTAATGCGGGCAAAAAAATCTCGCGTGCGGCACGGACAGCAATATTTTCGCACTTGTCACGTCGAGAGTGATCGTAAAAGCTGAAATTGTCTGCGCCCCTGCGTGGATAACCGCAGGACAGGGCACAACCGCAATACATTGCCCCCTTCGGTTCAGCCAAGTGTTATTTCGTTACTGCAGCCTCTCTCAACGTCTCCTGTGGACGCGGTTTTAAACCGCGATTCCTCGCAGAGGTGGATTCGCTAGGCGACGTAACAAATGCAGAATGGATTTTACTTTCAGCCGCGCGCGAGAAAGCGACTTGCAGTCCGCAATTTGCAAACGTTAGAACAAAATGTCGACTCGACATCGTTTCGACATCGATCGACGAGTCATTTCTCGCTGGGGACACATTCCTATGAAGATAATGAATCTGTATGAAGGCAAACTTCCTACGAGACAAATATGGCGTTTTTAAGAATTCGTCGGGGTATGAAAAGACCCCGCTTTAGCGTTGATTACCGATTGGCGATTCACGTAACAATTGCACGCGGTATGCAATGCGTATTATACGTATAATATTTCACGAGAGACATTCTTGAAGAATTTTAAGTTTCGCATTTAAGCAGCAACAATCGCGAGAATTACAAATCTAGTTGTACTATTGTCGTGGTGCATTTCGATAACAGCAAATTGAACGATACCGTCAAATAACATACATACATTTCTGTTACTTAGCTTTAATAATATCAACCTGAATGATAATTAATGTAGAAATTTGAATTTGAAAAATCAATGCAAATTTAATATAATCTTACACACACACACACACACACACACACACACATTATGTTTCATCACGTTGTACGTTACTTTGGAAAATTCCATTTGTTCGTCTTTTGTAAAAGGTGAAGAAAATATTGATAAATCTATAATAAACATCGTTACAATAACACAAATAATTAGCTGCTATCACAGTCTCTCAACAGAACACAAGCACAGGATAACGATCGCTAAACTTGTGCTGAGAGAGCTGAGTGACAGTGCTGAGATAATTCAATTAGTACGTATTTCCATATAAAAATATCTAATAACGAAGTGTTCAATATACAACATGCAGTTAAGTAACCGCGTGTTCAGGGATGCTTGTAGAAATTCAATATGTCGTATTTCTTTTTATGCACCTTGAAAGTCTGTGTCAATCGAGCGAGTAAGCGTTTGTCAAAGTGAGCAAATTGCGACTTGAGTATATTTAATTATTCCAAGTAAAACTAGATTGTACTGATGCACAAATTTTCTTCAACTTTGTATTATTGTTGAACATATGTCGTAACTTTGTCGAGCTGAACACGTTCGTGTAAAGCTTTAAAACACATAGCAAACATTACGATCAATTTTTAAAAGAGATGTAGAGGATAGTGTCCTATCATGAGATATGCTAACATGAGATAGCAGGTTTCCAACATCCAAATTCGAAGACAAATCTTCTCTCTCGACGATTACACGATCTAGCAATGAATTCTCCACTAAATAGATTTCACTCCCAGGGCAATAATTCATGGTGGAACCAACAGACGATGCCTATTAATTTAGCAGAAATCCCGCTGTCTCATCTCATAATAAGGGACTTTCCTCTATGTATTAAACCAATTTTAAATATATTGTTGCAGAACAGAATGGAGGGAAAGCTAGTTATTCAGTTATTCTAAAATTGCCGTTAGATTTTCTTAAGGAATAATCACGTGGCATTTGTATGTTTTAGGTTGAGGATGGGGAGCTGCATCAGCAGAGAGGATCAGCGACAGCAGAGACGAAAGAGAAATGTTGGGAGGGATGTTGAAAAACATGCCTCAGTATTAACATGTTTCTTTTGCAAAGAATGCATGACAAGCTACATGGAAATGTAAGTTATTCGTGTAATTGCCGAAAAGCTACAAAAAGCATATGAATTCTTATTGCAAGAAACGCCATTGTTCGATCGAATCAACTTACATATAGTTCGTTTCTTGAATATTTTCAGAGATCATATGAAGAATGCCGGGAAAATTGTCTGCAGCAGGTGTAAACGTTCAGTTTCCACTAAGATTGGCGAATCGACGACACCAATTGAGATTTATCTTATGTGCAAAGACATAGCAGATAGGCAGAATGGAACAAATACCGACAAGTAAAGAAAATAACATGGAAAAAACAGCGTTGATGTCACTTTCAAGAAAATGCTATCTGATTTATGGTTCGCGCTGATTCGGTCTGTAATAGTTAACGTATTGCAATGTGCATATACATATATGTATATATATAATTGTCTGTAATTTTCTTGACATTTTCGATGCTGCTCCTATTTTTATTTTATTTTTTTCAATAATTTTCATTTGCAACTCGAATATGACTATGTATTTCAATGCGTATTAGGGTCTCATTATACAACGATTGCTAATACTGCAATCGCGATATTGACACGTAACAATGATTACTATTACATGATGACTATCACACGTTTATTATTGATAACGACAGTTTATTATAAAACATGACGAAAATTTGTATTATTAAATGAAAATACTTTTGCTCTGTTACACACAAGTAAGTTAAGACACAAGTAAAAATGTTGATTATCGCGTCTCTTCCTGGAAAAAATTTTTCATATACATATATACATATATACTTAATATGTTTATATACTTGTATTAAACATAAAAGAAAACATTCATAATATGTTTCTCTTATATAATTTCTGTTCGTACAAGGAACATTAGCTAATTTTGGCTTTGTCCTAAAAGTTGTAAAGTTTGAGAATATGAAAAATTGCCTATACATAATCATATATAAATGTAATAAAATGTAATTATATATAATATAATTCTACATTATATATGCACTATTGTATAATTTAATCGTAATTATAATTATACTTTTATGTAACAGATATACTAGAAAGGAAACATAATGTAATGTAATTAAGATATATGTAATTAATATAATTAGTAATTTTAGTAAGTTAGGTAATTAGTAAATTACTATATATATTTAAAAATTTTTCGGGTTGATGTAAAGATGTAACCATTGCTCAAGATGTTCTTTTATGCATACTTTTCTATGTAGCACGGAAGCACAAAATTGCACGCGGTTTTGATCAATAAACGCAGGGAAAGATTGAATTCCACGCTCTTTCATTGAATTCAATTCGTCTTTTTTATGACGTCTTTATTAAAAGACGTCTCAACGTTGTTCTTTATAAGATACTTTCCGGAGCAATGCGACGATACGAGACGATACGTCCGAACACAAGCATCGATTAGAGAAGCAATTATCGTCCATAATTATCGCAATGAAGAAGTAATTTTAAGTCAGCTGGCGCTTTGATTCTTGGACGTACAAATTTCATGTGTGAACCGCGCGAGATATCTGTTTCTTTCAGGCGAGGAAGCTAAACTGAATAATTACCGCATTATAAAACTGGCGCGAATTGACAATAATGGCGGACCAATCACAGGGCGCTTTCTTATGGCCAGACACTGATTAGAGAGAGGGGGGGGTCTCTAATATGTATCTCTTGCGTTGGCCACACTGCAAACCACACCACTGAAGTGTGCTGCTCGCTCTTCCGGTTCACGTCGTTCTTTCAGACTGGCAAAATGGCTGATCAGGTACGTGTTCGACGCTACGATCGTAAATAAGTTTATTTCCCCGCGCAACACGGCGTTATTCTACGAAACCGCGTTGTGCTCGCGCGATGACGAGCGTCGCGGATACTCGCGCGCAGAAAGCGAAAACGTCGCTCGGGATGATTGGGGCGGTTCGAGCGGTTAGAGCTCGGTGCGGCACGTGGTTAGGTCGCCCGCGTGCACCGAGATCCGGCCACGAGGGAGTGTTGCTGTAAGAAGGGCGCGTAATCCGTACAATTTCGTTTGTTGCAGAGCGAGCGTGCGTTTCAGAAGCAACCCACGATCTTTCTTAACCGCAAGAAAGGTCTGGGCCCGAAGCGCAGGAAGCCTATGAGGTACAGCCGCAACGTCGGGCTCGGTTTCAAGACGCCTCGCGAAGTGAGTAAAAGTGCCCTCCAATAGCTCCGGTGCCCCCGTTCTCTGATTCTCAATCGATAATCATTAACGCTAGCCATTTCTACCAATGCAGGTTGACTTTAATTTTCAGCTTCAACTTGCCTCTTCTAAATCTTAGAACTGAAAGAATGATAAAACGTAAGTTAAACTGAGACTAGAATTAATCCGCATTGATAGACATGGAAATAGGAACGAAGAAATTCGTACTATTAAGGTCCGGTTTCGCCAAATGTCGCTTGACTTTAATCTTGGCTCAATTCACGTTTGTCTCTTTTCAAAGAAACAGTTGGAAAGAGACAAAGAGCGAATTAAGCTAACCATAAGGTTAAAATTAAACAACGTTGGTGAAACAGGACCCAAGTTATTTCACATTGGTTTATGAGAATTGCGTTGATAATTCAGCAAGATGTATATCGAGATAAAGATTATGAAACGTGTATAATAGGAAGTGATTTATGAGAAAAGCGTCGAGCTAGAGATAATTGCTAAAGATCGATTGATTCATTATACGTAATTTTGTCTCATGTTTAATACATTACTGTGAAACGTGGATGTACTTAATATTAAATGATGATAAACACGACGGTCTTCTGAAGATACCTTGAAGAAGATTCTATATTTCTCACACACCCACTGAGTGTTACCACATTTATTAGTAAAAGTAAAAGGCGTAAGATGTTTCATGTATTTTGAGGGTTTAATTAATGTTTACAGGCTCTCGAAGGAACCTACATCGATAAGAAATGTCCATTCACCGGCAATGTATCGATTAGAGGACGCATCCTCACTGGCGTTGTACAAAAGATGAAGATGCAACGTACTATAGTTATACGCAGGGATTATCTGCATTATATTAGAAAGTACAACCGTTTCGAGAAGCGCCATCGGAACATGAGCGTCCATCTCAGCCCGTGTTTCAGGTACACTAGCGTGGAAGTAATCTGGTTTATTCTAGAAACGTTGAAATTCTTTTAATTCCCATTTCTATGATGATATTTTATATCACGATGGTCTACTGACGAATGCCTTGATGATAAATTATATAGCTGAATTACAAATTAAGAGTATTTAAGAAACAGAGTAATTGAGTTATTGTTAATATTTATGAACATTACATTGTCTTCCAGGGATGTAGAGATTGGTGATGTAGTCACCATTGGAGAATGCAGACCTTTGAGCAAGACAGTAAGGTTTAATGTATTGAAGGTTTCGAAAGGAACGGGATCAAAGAAAAGCTTCAAAAAGTTCTAAACATCTATCTTCTCAGCAAAGGTTTGTAACATTATTTGCAATTTACATTTTGCGTATGTAACTACATTACGATTGAGCTCAAATGATGTCACAAAAAATATGTCTATTCTTCTTCTAAACTTAAAAATTATGTATTAGCGATGATTTTAATTCCCATTTTTATGATGATATTTTATATCACGATGGTCTACTGACGAATGCCTTGATGATAAATTATCTAACTGATTTACAAATTAATTTTTGCTTTAAATTTTTAATGCAAAATTTCTATAACATGTTTTATGTACTGTTGTTTTAATTATTACAGGATTATTTTTGGCAGATTTCAAGAATGAGGTACGAAAAGAAGTACGAAACTTCACAACCAAATGTGATTATACTATTTGTACTTTAATTCTCATATTCGAAATCTGGCAAAATGACAAAAATAAAATTTATAAAAATATCGTATGATTCAAGTATTTTAATAATACTATGTCATTCCATAATTCTAGGCACGATACTGCTGAAAATATATCTTTGTATGTTTCTTAACATACATTTTTCATATATCATTTCCTCAATATGTATTATGTTGAATTCAAGTATTTTCTAAAAAATAATTTGCATGCTTGATGAATATTGTATCACATGACTTTTAATTATATAAAAACCCCAATGATGAAAGGAATTAATTTTTCTAGTTACATTGCAGACTATAAAATTAAAAGTCATTAAATAACATACACAACTTAATTTTTTTAAATATATTTCAGCAATTTTTAACAAGAAGTGTTTAATATATAAAAATAATTTATATATAGCTTAGCGATTATTATTGTCATAAATTGTAAAACGTTTAACTTTCAGAGAGAAGATCATTAATGTCATATTTGTGTTAAGATAGAAATGATAGAGAGAATATTATAGTTTGATATACGTAACAAACTAATATATTTCATAAAATTGTATAATTATTGCTCAATTTGCAATATTAAAGTTTAAATATTTCTAATCACAAATGTATAACAGACTAATATTAACAAGAGTTTAAAGTTCTGAAGGCACCGATGTTTATGTAGAGATTTCTTATAATTTTTAAATATTTTCTATACTAATTTCCTATAATAGTAGTCATATTTTTATTAGATCAATTTCGTAAAAAATTTATCACATTTACATTTGGTATAGCGTAACAATAGCTTTTCTAGATGAAATAATGTTAATATATTTAATCCAATATTATATTAGAATTTCTTATTAATAATAGTTGTAGCTTTAATAAAAAGATCTCACTCAATTGATTCGATACAAAGGACAGTTTTACGTTGTTACGATACAAAAATAGGGTAAGAAAATATATTCTCGATATAGAAATGAATATGTAACTTTCGACTCTAATGCTAGTAAAACGTTGGCAAACGCTTTGTCAGATAACGTGTAAGGAAACCATTACATCTACGAGATAACGAATTAGACAATGATGCAAATTCTCGTGCAGTTTACTTAGTCAACTTGGAAATAATAAATATGTATATAATTATATACATACATTACATATCTATATGCAAAATATATCTTCTTATCCTATAGCTCTCTATCCAAATGTATATCTTTACGCGAAATATCAATTACTTACGGTTATATTATCTGCTTTAATTGAATATTCCGCTATATAAAGTATATATATAATAGGCCCTGCAAAACTTAAAAGTAATGAGAATACGAGCAGCTGCGTCCAGGACAGCCCCCAGTTATCGCCGGAACATTTAAACATGTCCGTTTCGCAGGATTCAGCTGCCTCTGCATTTTCGGTACCGTCCAGCAAGGCGTCGTGCTCGCTGTGTGGGGTCTCGGGGATATTGGCACTGTTGTAGGTCGACAAAGGTTCGCATACCGAGTTTAATATGATGGCATTGATTTCCGCGTTCGAGGACTCTGTGCTGGTCGACGAAGCGCCCAGGTCTATCAACTGCTCTTCCACCACTGCCGGTGCCTCCCCTTGGCGCTGCTCCGACGTGGCATTATCGCCGTGACTTTCGGGCGACGCCTCAGTCAAAATAGAGAATGGTTGCACTGGCACCTTAATGTAAGGCTTAGCATATATTTCATTCTCTTTGTCGATTTTATTAATTCGTTTCAATTCAGATATCTAAAATTACGTGACGTAAATTATGAAAGTAGGCATAAAGATATAGGAATGCGTATCTTTATGCCGCACGTGCACCACATCTTCCTACTCACTGTGCATCTGTACCGAAGGGCCAACGCCTGCAGCGTGTCCTCGGCTTTTACTTGCACGTTGATCACCTGAATTTTGCGCAACGACGCGGGCCGCTTGATAGCGTGCAGAGAGATGCCATCCTCGTCTGCGCTACTTTCCTCGTCGGAGTGTAAAAACACATAATGCGGGGAACTCTCTCGTCCACGCAGATGAATCGTCTGCCTAAGAGTTTATTTCACTTGTTAAAAAGAGCCTTGCATTTATGTCGCACTTGATACAGTGGAGCCCAATCTACAATCTTGGCGTCTAGAAGCATTTTATTCTATATCCAATGAACATGATTAAAAAATTGGTGCGTGTTGACAAACTGCATACTATACACTGCACAATTATGCATTGTCGACAAATTGTTCAAGTATATTGAGATTTGCCTGTACAAAATAGAATGTTTCTCGATGCGAAGAACACATTGCAGATTAGACCCGGGATGCTTGTCAATTTCCTTGAAAACGACAAACGTTTCCCACGAGGGAACGTTCGACACAATCGACCGCGACTGACTTGTCAATTTATTGTACGTGTAACGCAATTACTCGTGCGATCGATGTAGTGTAAACTCGCTCGTTACTTTACGTCGCGAGAGATTTATGTAAATAATGATGCGCGAAAATTGGTAAGATCCGGGGCGGATAACCTCGAAAGTTACCTAGCGGCCTTCTGCTCCTCGAACATCGAGTTCACCAATTTTTGCGGCATACTGCGATCATCCTCGGAGAGCAATTGCACTCCTCCGGCGCGAATGCTCGTACGTGTCCCGGAAGCGTGCTGTTACAGTTGACAGATGGACGTGCGTTTACGAGGCACGCAGTGGCCTCGGCGCGGAGCGCGCTGCGTGAGTCGAGGTTAGGTTAGGTCGGGCGTCCTGCGCGAGACGAGCTTGGCGCGTCGACGGTGGAGAAATCGCGTGCCGTTCAGGATGATGCAATACGAGGAAGAGGGCGAGACGCTGAAGGACAAGTCTCGGTGCGCGAACATTCGCGCCGATCTCAAGATGTGCCTGCTTAAAAGCGACTGTTGCAAAATCGTGAGTGAAACCGCCCTAACCTACAACGCGTTGCCTTTGCAACCAACGGCGTACTTTACGTTCGTTACGCGTGCACAAACGTTTCGTGAGAAATACGCCTTGTCGCGTTATTCGTTGTAATCTTTCCGATCTCTCATATTTTCCGAACGAATAGCTGTATCGATGCAGATTTCATATTTGGAGATTGAAAGCTTTCGATTGCCGGTTTCCGAAGCAGCCTGGCTTCGTACGTAAGAAGATATCGTAAAAAGGCACGTTATTCTCTCTATTCTTGGTTTGAACAAGTGTTTATCTCTTTGACAGTACAAGCGCACCCCCAGAGAATGCCTCCGGTCACCAAATGGCACGGTTCCCGACGAATGTTTCGCCTTGCGCAACACATTCTTTGATTGCAAGCATTCTCTAGTAAGTATAAACGGATTTGCATCAAATTCTGAATACCAGGAGGAGGAAGTGCGCACCTTTTCTCTAAAGAAATCGCACCTTTGCAGATTATCTAGAGGAAAGTCCCTTATTGTGAGATAGACTCCTAATATGAGATTAGCGGGGTTGCTGCAAAATTAATAGGCGATCTGTTGGTTTCGCCATGAATTTATCGCCCTGGGAGTGAACTCTGTTGAAAATTGATCGTTAGATCGTGTAATCGTTGCGAGAAAAGATTTGACGATTGAACTTGGACGTTGAAAGTCTGCTGTCTCTTATTAGAATCCTATCTCATGGTAGGGGATTTTCCTCTACGTATATTAACACAATTTGTTTTCTTTCCTTTCACACAGATTGATGGAAGACGTCGGTTTAGAGGTCCTAAAGGCTATTAAACGTCCAACTAAATATATCTGTGATATAATTATATACATTTATGTGTCCACAGAGAATCTTATTCTTTTCCTATTAGATACTTTGTGAGGAAACGCCTGTGTATATATTAACCAAAATAAATTCAGGAAACACTTGTATTTTATCGATAAGGAAAATGACCGACGTTTAATGTTAGAAGTAATTTATTGTTATTCGTTGTACACGATGTAATAATAAATCTATTATAATTGCGAAGTAACAATTCGTATCATACAAATTCGTCGCATTTACATATGCGTCCTGGTACAATATCCAAAGAAATTCGTATTCTCTTGCGAGATAATCTGCTGCCAGGCTTGACTGGAGAAACGTGACGCTTTGTACGATTGTTACTTTGAAGAGTTTATACTCCTCTATGCAGAGCGAAAGTTTTTTTTGTAGGCAGAGTTTCTTTTCTCGAAGAACAAAAGCGGTATGTGTTTTAACCCTTTCAGTACTACGAATCAAATGTAACTTTTCATGCGTCTTGTAAGAAACGTCTCTTACTTTTCTCTCCGGTTTCTTAGTAGCGGACAAAACTGCATATGTAATCAATAAAAGGTGACAAAAACGAGAAAAGCGTTTTTATGGTTAAATTTAAATTAGGCAGAGGATTTTTAATTTCTTTTGTCTAAATTGTTACTGAAAGGGTTGATATAGAGTGTCCAGTCTCTGTTAAAATAACATCACGTTGAAATTTGCCTGTGCACGTGCGAAATTCAACGTACAATCGAAATATATTTCAGTACGACGGGAGAAAGGAGAATGTAATAGTCAAATATTTTGTTGACGCGTTTTAATTATAATTTGTTACTGTTTTTCACGATGTACATACGTATCATAGACTGGACAATATTGGCTGATTGTGGCATTTACAATATTGCGCTTGTTTTGCCGCGCTGAATCGCACACACGAATGTGTGTATCGAACATGATACGCGTGTGATCACAGTAAAAGTGCAAAGTTTTTCCAACTTCCGTCCTTTCCTTTTCATTAAATTAAGAGCATTTTGTTCCACTTTGTGTTCTGCGAGTATACAATTCGGGCGTATGATAAGGTACGCCGTCACACGGGTCTGATGTTTTATTACAAATCTACCGGTTGACGATCACGCCTGCGTAATCGCCCTATCTATTGTCTGTATGCAACAAGCGTATATTGGCTATACAATCTCTTTTGTACTACAATGCCAACTCACGCTACTCTTTCACTCCCTAAAATGGCTATAGGCACCTAAAAATGGGATCTGCAAGCTTTTCCTGCGCATGCCGTTCTATTCTCATCTCTCTTTCGTGTATACGGAAAGAATTTTTAGACTGTGTGTGAACAAAATCCAAGTTTTTAAACTCGTTACATTAAATGGAGTTACGATTCCAAATAAAATTATGGTCGCACACATATCTTCTTAAAACAATGACAAATATACTTGCGTATATTTTATTTGTTAATTTCTTTAGAGACGATAAAATTACTGTTTGTGAAATAAGATCTGTAAAAAATAATTTTATTTTACAAGCTGGAAAGAGAGAGAGAGAGAGAGAAAGAGAGGGAAAACGAGTGAGATATAGTTAGAAATAAAACATATTTTGTTAAAATTTCTAAGAATATAATTTACCCATGTACATGACGAGTCGAATTTCGCGAGCATAAAATCCGCGTGTACGGATATATAATATCAAATCTGAAGATATAATCGAGAAGATTTCAAGTTACGTTCTACCGCGTTGGCCTTCGAAGTTCCACTACCTTGTGCCTAAGTCACCTAAATTGATTTCGAGAGTAACATTGTTTTTTTTTCCCAAGAGTAGGTTTCAAGAGGAGTTTTCCCATTGTGTGATATATACGCCGCTGGTTCAAATATCACAGTTTATCGAGTATGATATGTAATTAGCGATTATTCGATAGTTATCAATAGTAATAAAAGTATGTATTGCGCATATCGTTATGCTTGTATATACCGCGATGCCCGTAGGATGACCAAACGCCTCTGATCGGCAACACGTGTTATTTCTTCCATGCCGGCGCATGGAATGTTCCCATCTTCCAAAAAAAAAATGAAGGTCCTCGCATCAGCACGAGATGGATCGAACGCTCGTTTTATATTATTTTACATTACGTATATATTACAAAACTTTTCTCCGCAGCCTGTCGATTTTATTGCTATTCGTCCCCTGTATACATTGAATTTCCACTTCGTTCGGTTACCCTACTCGGGCAATGCTCGCTTGCGTAATGAAACGAGATAGTAAAGTCGAAAAATACAAATAGGTCCAGTTGCATATCTAATCGAGCATGCAAGCCGTTTCGTCGATCATCGACGAGACTCGTCTAAAGCGTATACGAAGTTGCGCCCCTTATAATAGGTAGTACGATAAGAAATCACAGTGTCCCGTTCGTTAACGGCGTTTGCGACGAATTATATTCCTCGGTTCCTGCAAATCAGTATCGCACCTTGTATCCCGCTATGGCATTATGTTCCTGCAATCGAAATAAATGTTGATTAAAAATACAAGTGTTAATCGACGTTTGGCGATGCTCGATATCATTTCGCTATCAACACCGAAAGGTGTCGGCGTATCTCGCGAATAGAATCGTGCAGTAAAAGCGCTGGAATTTGATACGATACCGTTTCGCTCGGATTTTTCTGCAGAGTTATACGTAGTAATGCGACTCGAAAAGATGCTCCTCGCAGACTCTACCAGCCGGGTGAGGAATCAGAAGCACACGGAGGGTCTGTAGAGCCCGATGTATCCGCATAGGCGTGCACGAAGTGCCGGCAGAAGTATTGCCGCGGCGGATAGATTGTCTTGCAGCTGCGAGCACTCGCAGATCAACAGATACATCTTATCGCCTTGCGACATCGACTTGTGCAAGGTAATACGCCTGAGACCCACCGATTTCGGCAGGTATCGATACATCATTCGCGCACCTGCAATATGATACACACAGAAAATTATTATTGTACAGTCAAGAACAGTAATTATTCAGTTTATTTTATTCCGTTTAAGTAATCGTTTGCTTCAACAAAGAATATTTTCTTAATAATAGTTTTGAGATATACTTGATACTAGTCTTAGAAAAGCTTGCCATCTTATACTAAAAGAAAGAATTTATTCTTCTTTGAAGAAAACTATAAAACTTATTGAAGAATTCTGTATGCTTCTTTTAGTAAAATCAGAAGAAACAAAATTGTTTTGCTCCAAATAATTCTATGTATTCTTGTTTGAAGTACTAGACTTACTAAGAACCAGAATATGTTTTGAGTAAATGTAACACTTGCGACGACATCATGACAGATTTGCGGATATATAAACTTATCAAATACTTGGAACAAATAATATTTCCTTGCAGGTATATATTTTTCTATTAGTATATATTTTTCTGTGTGTAGAAGCGGCATATATAATGCCTTAATAGTACACAAAATGAAATAATCAATGATCGCTTTCTTCCATTGTGCAATTACTCAACTTGTATAGATCGATATTTTATATGAATAGAGAACAAAATGTCTTATACAATATTAATTTTTAACAAGATGTTCTTTATATCGATATTATATTTAATAATATTTTAAAAGCGGATTTTTTATATTAATTCAACTCGATCTTTCAGTCCTGAGAAAAGTAAAATTATGTGTAATTTTAATAAATCAAGATTATTTATTATTGACAAGATTAAAGTACTACATTCTGTGCGGCATTTTAATCGCATTTTCTTATTAAAATTATAATTTGATTTATTAAATTCTCTCTTTCTGTCATACACATAATTTTTAACATCATATGTTAAACGATACAAAAGTTATACGAATATATTCTCTATTTTCAGTCAAACGAAGAGAAATTCTACTCAATAAGCAAAACGAGGCAAAAATTTAGAAGCGAACTATACAAAAATTATACCAATATATCCTGTTTTCAGTCAAACGAAGAGAAATTTTACTCAATAAGCAAAAGGAGGCAAAAATTTAGAAGAAAAGGATACAAAAGTTGTACGAATATACCCTGTTTTCAGTTAAACGAAGAGAAATTCTACTCCTCAATAAGCAAAACGAGGCAAAAATTTAGGAGAAAATTATACAAAAATTGTACGAATATATCCTGTTTTCAGTCAAACGAAGAGAAATTCTACTCAACAAGCAAAAGGAGGCCAAAATTTAGACGAAAAGGATACAAAAGTTGTACGAATATATCCTGAAGAATAATTCTGCTCCTCAATAAGCAATAGACATATTCAATAACTCTCTTGAAACGGGATAATTTATCAACCATTTACTTGTTTGCTTAAAACGGAATAATATATCTTTTAAAACACACACATATATCCCAGTGAGAAATGATTCGTCGACGAGTGGGATATTAGCGGCGCTAATGAGTCCACAAAGAATAAAACGCACGACGACGGTCCCGAAATCAGTTTTCAAATTCAAACGTTACGATACACGAAAGAAATATCCGGCGAATATTTCTTTTGTGTATCGTAACAAAAACACGCTCGGCGCGGCGTGACGTGTTGTTTACGTGAACAGCAACCGCCGCCGGCCGGCGCCGCGGCGGCTCGAACGCAAGGTCGCGCCGGTATCATTCGCACGGCGGAGCTCGAGCGAGCAGGTACGGCTTGTTCGTGTCGTCGCGCTATTACTTCTCGATCGTTCTATCTACAAACGATCGGCGATCGTAGGCCCGTGCGATCGCTCAATCTCCGCGCTCAACGACCCGCGGGCTGTCCGGCGGCAAGTGGATAACCGGCGCGATTAATTTACTCGAGGGAGAAGGATTCAAAGCAGATAACGGAAGGGACAAATGGCTATTTAGTCGCTTCATTAGCGACGCTTGTACTCGAGATTCACGTCCGCGCCGTATTTCCAGTTTCCGACGTAACGACTCGATCGATTCTAATGCGCGGACCGTCGAAGGGTGTTCGCGTAAACTTGGACATTCGTGACGTATCCGTGATACGAAAGTTTTTATTCGGCAATGCGCATATCCCGTGGACATGTTGGTACGTTCGTCGGAGAGACGCCCCGCTCGTACGACATCGAGATCTGTTCCTGCGTCTTTTGAGTTTACCGCCATTTACTTGGCCGTGCAGTGCGACAGTGCGGTCCGAGCGTCGTTTCTGCGCGTGAGGTTGGCAGCCATTTTTCGCGCGGTCTCTGGTGGAACTTCACGGACGGGGCCGGTGCGGTGTCGCGTTTAATTCGTATAAATGCGGTTTTAACGAGCCAGGCGATTCGATTTTCATCAAGCGGACGTTCCGTTCGAGTAAGTGATATTGATTGGATCAACGTTTGTGCGGAGGTGAGTGCGTGAATCGCGAATTGGTGTCTCGCGAGCTTCGTGCGACCGAGATCTGTCGCTCGGGCCGTTGGCGCATTAACCGTCTTCTCAAAAGTTACGAGACGATCGAGCCTCTCGTACTATTCTCGCGTTAGTTCCTCCGCCGT